CTATGAATTCCAAAACGAGGTCACAGTGACCCACTTTTGGGTCATGACATAACATTTTCTCCAAAGTACCTCTTGTGACAAAATTAATAGTCCAAAGTCCAATGTGAAAATTGCAAAAATTTTGATCCAGACATAACTTGACTTTATATATATCCAATGAGTTCTGAAATGATGTCATGCAACCTAATTCAGGGTTGCAACATCCTGTCTTCTAAAAAACATCAACTGACCAAGTTTGATAATCGTCACAGTCTTAAAGATCTTAGACACCACAAAGCTAATACAGAGGGAAAATCACATACCTTCATTCATCCCTTCAATAAAGATGTGTATAAAAACTGCTTTACAGAGAGACAGATGGATGCTTTCTCTTAACAATACCACCAGCTCTACCTTTTTTTCTTTATCATGCACTGCCTTCGATTATCTGTCTATACTTTGTACCAGCTGCTATTATAGCTTTCACATGGGCAAATATAAAATAATGTCTTTTAAGGATCAATTTGTGCAATTTTTTTATCTTTCTGTCCTAAGTTGCTCTCTGTTTATGCATGCATATTGAATATTTTTTTTCTTGATTCCATGATTTTTTTCCTTTTACTGTAGGTAAAGTGTAGAATCCTACAAATATAAGAAGGAAAAGCATATATAAACACTCATATCCATATATAAGGCAATTTTTATTTGCTTTCAAACCGGACCTTTGTATTTTGTCTCCCCCTGTAATTTGATTTTGTTCATTCATTTTTCTCTTTTGTATAATTTTCTATATATGACTTTTTCTGTTTTTTCAAAATTTATAGGTTTGTGTTTTTTTTTTCTCTCTTAAAAGAATCAATTTGTTTTGTACCTTGACCTAAATGTAGGGAGAGGGCAATACTTTTTAACATTTTATAACATCAGTGAATAAAATATTGTTTAAAAAAAAAAAGCATATATGCATTTGCTGAGTTTGAAGTATGCAACACATTTTAAAATTTATAGGTATACCTTTATAAGAATAAATTGCAATACATTTATATTAAAAAAATATCCAAAAAATACAATATATATTTGCAATTAAGTACCACATTTCACACATAATAATTTTTAATATAAAATAAAATGCAGGTACATGTTAATTTGCATATTTTTGTTTTTTACAGCATTCATGAAGCAAATTCTACACAAGTTCAACACAAGACAATGTACTTATAATTCTGCTCTAATGTCAACTCACCAAGTGGAGGAACACATCAGGGGAACTAACTCTGTCGTTCTGGATTATCTTCTGTGTGATTATCTCCCCTGATCTTCACCTCTTGTTTTTCTCTACATCCCGAGTTCATCTACAGCACGGGAGCTGGAGTCATCTTATGCCACTGTGTTGTCTTGTAAGTCCAAGATATTTATCTACTACAAGACTCAGGATTAACAGTTTACACATATTTCTATTGCATTTCTTACCCTCGCCTGACTATCAACAGTGAATACAAATGGTGTATTGCTCGATTTTATTATTTTGTTTTTAATAAAAAAGAAAAAAGGAGGGGAATCAATAAACAATTACCAGCAAGCACTTTGTAACAAGCACAAAGTACTTCAAATAACAAACAGATCCTAAAATACCTACTAATAGGCTCTTACAGGTGCTTGAATTCATGCCGAGTTAGAGTGGATTTCTGGTGAATTTAAAAGAGAAAGGTTTTATGGGATTTACAAGTAGAATTAATTGCAATTATCTGCTAAAATAACTACTTGGGGATGCAGCTACAATGTATCTGAAATTTTGACAAAAGTCAATAATATCTAAGTTTGACTCACAATTCCTGATGTCAGATTTTTTTTTCATCAAAACATAAAATGAGAGAATTTATGAAAATAATGGGGGGAACATGAAAAAGAAAAGTTTATATTCAATTTCTATTCATTTCTGCCTTATCAACAAAATCATATTTCTTTCCAACTGTTCTGTGGGAAATCTTTCATTTCATGGCACTAAATAAAATACTTTGTGGTGCTCTCTAATTTGAACAGAAGCTGCATGTGCATATGAATTGAATCAATTCTGTTTGCATATATTTTATAACTTACTGTGCTTAAATGCAAGCAATGATGGCATATTCTGGACCTTTCTTCCCATTTATCATTAAAAGGGTATTCAATTATCTTACATTTTCACAAGCACTTGGCACTTGTTAACCACTTTATAGTTAATGTTCGTGCAAGATCACTGGTGACCAAACACATATCAGGCCACTTTTCATTTTGTGATTGATGCATTTCTTTTTTTAAGAGTGTTTAAGGGGGGACCTATGTCCGAAAAGTCTTTGTGTGAAATTTTCAAAACTTTGGCATTTCTTTCCTGACAACTTGCTCTTAATTTTTAGGTATTAAAAACAATACCTTTATATGCTTATTTTTACACAGGAGCAAAAAACAGTGTGATATGCTAAAAATAGATAATTTTCATTTAATTATTCTACCTCAAATATGGCAAAAAGAACTGTCAAATATAAAAATCAACAGGTATTTAATTCATATGACTTGTATCTTTAAAATGGAGGCAAATTCATTGAAATCCATCTCGCATGAAAAATTATAATGGAGCACAATGTAAGTATTACCCCATTTTTTTTGTCGTATTTTTTACAATACCGACATGCATAACAGGTAATATCTTAAAAAGTCTTTGTGTGAAAATTTTGTTATTCATATTTTTTGAAAGAAATGATTCATCTCTTTATTTCAACAAAGAAAAAAGTATACCTTTATGATAAAATTAACGAGAAATATGACGTTTCCTTTTATTTTTGTAATGTCATAAATATTGACCTTTCTGCACTAAAAAAGGGTAAGTAAGCACTGACAAATCTCTATAAAACTATTTTGCATTTTGTTTTGATTAGAAACAATTTAAATAGATTTTTTTTTCTATATTAAAACCTAGGAATGACTTTATACAATAAAATCTACATGTACTATATAAATCAATAAGCAAATATACACCCGTACGAGTACATTTCTTAATTTTTTTTCTTAGTTTTCTCCAGAAAATCGATTAATGGTATTTATAAAATCAAACATTTTCCCCTGATTTAAGCCGCTTTTTTACCTGAATTTTATCTCTTTTTTGCACTATTAAATCAGCATATTATCGAGGTATTTTTTCACAACAGAAATTGCAATGAATTATCAACCAAAGGAAGAGAATTCTCATATTAACAAAATCCATATATCAAATAAAACTGTGATTAATGAGATTGATGCATTTCTTTTTTTAAGAGTGTTTAAGATGCTCTTTAAAGCTTTAACATGAACCAATACACCTACCTAATACTTTATTTGGAAAGTACCATTAATGAAAATGCTATCATAATGCATGAGGTGACAAACTGAATTTAATTTAAAATTATTCAAAAATCACACATGGTGCCTTAAAATGGGGTCTCATTTTAAAACAGAAATTAAGACCAACATGTAATTTTGAGAATAACTTTCTACCACAAAATCATTTTAAAATAGCATTAAACTTTCTTAAATGAAGTTACATACTTTCATGCTAGCAATTTTTACCAGAATCTACAAGATTCTACAATCAAAGTGTTTGGTCTTAGACTTGAGTGTGTAACAGCCCGTGTTACCCTTTTTGTTAACAAAATTAAGAAAATACCCTAAATATTCCTATTTCATCGAACTTTACACATGAAGCCACTGTATGAAGGAAGGTATGTGTCATCAAACAAAAAACTTCTTTAATGAATTCCAATCTCTCAATACAGGGGGAATAATCTCTCCTCTGTTGTTAACATACAAGAAGTTCATAGATAATTTATAACTTTATTGTCAAAACACAATAAACATTTCTCACATTAAAAATCTCTCTAACATGACTCTGTCTATTCCAACCTTTTCCATGCTACCAACAATGTAACACATTGTAAATATAAACAGTTAGTTGTGCCACTGAACAAGCAGAGAGATTAAGACACACCATGTAATTTTGAGGTGACTTTCTACCACAAAATTATATTTAAAAACATAGTGATTAAACTTTCAATAGTTCAAACATATTTTAGATATAAAGAATACTGCATTATCTTTCATGCTACATTTTGCCAGGTTTGTGAGAATATGTTCTTTTATGGCAAGAGAATGGGCGGGTCTTAGTACAATAGAGGGATATGCGTGTCCGACAATCGACCTTATATGGCTAATGTTAATATTTCGGACATAGTCATTGTCCAATGTGTACACAACAAAACATGCTGGTTTACTACCTTTACATTTTATCTCAGACAAGGTCAATTTACCTGTTATCGTTTTCTATTTTTCAAACTTTTATAATGGTCAGCCAAGACTGTTCATATTCAATAATACGAACTTTACGTTTTTTAGGACAAGAAATGCACATGAAACTTGTATTCACTGATAATCGGGATTACGGTAGTGTTGCTCACCAAACACGCTACAAAACCTTTAAACTAATGTATATTTATCAATCGTTTGTAAATGTATATAAATTTTACTTCTTATGTAGATTCGTGTCAATCTCTCAAATGCATAAAAAAATTCTAAAAGCAGTAAAATTCCAAGCATGTTTCCATAGTATTTTTGTTAACAACGAATTTCATTCAGCTGATTGGTCAGTTAGAAAGTATCGCCAGTTCGATTAGCATATGAATTTGTTCTATAACTTTATCTGTTCATAAACAGGCAAGCTAATTTTACATTTTTTAAAAAACACATTAAAAATCTCTCTATACATGATTTCAATAAAATACAGTGACCAGCCTTTTCCATATTTTAAGGGCTTCAAAGAGTGGGGCGGGGTTAACAATGGGAATTGGATGTACACACCTCAATAAAGGATCAATATCTTTGCCACGTTTCTATTTTTGTTAAAAATAGTAAGAAGGTACACATATCAGTGATTAGTTACATATACAAATTTGAGTAAAATATAGACATTTTATTTTTTGTCAATTTACCGGGGGCCGCAAGTCACCTCATCCTTTATCGTATAAATATCCTGGAATTTTTTCCAGAGATATTGGGAAAAACAAAAAAAAAATCTGAATCAACCATTCACACAGACTTCTCTCACAAACACTAAACATATTAAAGAACAACTTCAAAATATTTAATGCTTATAGATACTTATTGTATACAGAATGCTGTACACGTTTTGTTTTTTGTTTTTTTTTTAAGTTTGAACATTGCAATATTGCCCTATTTAACAAACTGATTATTATCAAAATATGAACATTTTAAAAAAATTGTCTTTGTTTACATGTTTCCTAAAAGACATGGAATAGCTTTTTAACTACAAGTACTTATATTTCATTTTTTAGAAAAAGTTAATTCATGATTTATAAATAATCAACAATCTTAACAAGCACAATTACAGACATGAATGTAAAATTCAATGCAAAGGCCTACATAGCATGTATGCCATAGATAACAAAAATGATCCTATATGCAAGTCCAAACAAATAATTCATTCTCAAAACTTTCACACAATTTATTCCACAATGTGTAGGAGTTAAGTCCCTTAAAAGACTGTTAAAAAGTTCTTTCTATATTTTTGTTTTACTGAAAAGGCATACAACAAGACAAAACATTTTTGAAAACATAAAGAACAAATATAACAAAAAAAAAACAAACAAACAAAAAAAAAACGCAGTACTTAAAACAGTAATTGTAACATCTAACAATGCAGAAATAAATTTAAGATAAGAGTTTCCCTAATAAAGAGCATACTCACTTGCATCAATTAAACTTTTAAGAAATAATAATATCAACATTCACACAACATCACTTTCTTCATTTCCGAGTATAAATGGTCACATGATAATCTGTTTGTTTTGTTGTGTCTGTGTAATTCTGTTGTATGAAATCTCACTCCATCGTCTTATGAGTATCACTTCAGAGTTGTCCTCCCTGATTGGCATTTTGATCTAGTTATCACACGGACGTCACCATTGCCTCTCTGCTCAGAAAATAAAAAATGAAATTATATAGCTATATATTTTAAAAGCTGTATCTATTATAATTTATAAAGAAAAATTATGCCAAGAACTTTCATAGACGATTCAATTTATTTGTGTAGTAAACCTTATCCATTGTAAAGTAAAATATTGAATCAGATTCAATGTGTAATATTTGGTTTGCATAAAGCTACAGTAACTGTTGAAGAACTTGAGATTCTATAATGATGCTTGAAGGTTTACTCATGATTAAATTAATAACAGATTGAACAATATCAGTAAGATCTTATTGATAGCATTCAAATATTAATTCTAATTGTTTAAAATTTTCAGATGTAAAATGGCATTGCTACACTAGTTACCATTAATATAATACTGAACTTGTAGTTCTTGTTAACATATATAAGTAGTTATGTTAAATCTTTGCAAAACAATTAAATCCTCTCTTGGAAGATTCTGTTTAGCTTCATAACATTGGACCTTGGAATACAATCATTTTGAACTTCATCAAGATAACATAAGTACAGCAAATCTTAAACAAGAGGCCGATGGGCCACATCACTCACCTGAGTAAATTTGGTGATGCTGTTCTTTACCAGATCCCCCCCCCCCCCTGTAATACCTATTGTGGCCCAGCCCTAACACCCCCCCCCCCCCATTTGGTCATTATTTTAACAATTTAGAATCTACACTGCCCAAAGACACTTCCACATAAACTTTAGCTTTTTTCGAGCCCATTGGTTCTTGAGAAGAAGCTTTCTCAAGATTTTTCCTATATATTTCTATGTAAAACTTGGATTTCCTATTGTGGCCCTGCCCTGTCTCTGGGGGGTCATGATTTTAAAAATTTAGATTCTACACTACCCAGAATGCTTCATCATAAGTTCCAGCTTTCCTGGCCCAGTGGTTCTTGAGAAGAAGATTATTAAAGATTTTCCCTACATATTTCAATGTAAAACTTGGATTCCCTATTGTGCCCTTGCCCTACCCCTGAGGGTTGTGATATAAATAATCAAGAATCTACACTAACCAAGGATGCTTCCACATAAGTTTCAGCTTTTCTGGCCTATTTGTTCTTGAGAAGAAGATTTTTTAATGACCCCACCCTATTTTTGTCTTTTCTTGATTATCTCCCCTTGTAAGGGGACTTGGCCCTTTATTTTAATAATTGAAACTCCCCATCACCCAAGGATGCTTTGTACCAAGTTTGGTTAAAATTGACCCAGTGGTTCTTGAGAAGAAGTTAAAAATGTGAAAAGTTTACAGACAGATGGACGGACAGACAACAGACAAAGGGTGATCAGAAAAGCTCACTTGAGCTTTCAGCTCAGGTGTGCTAAAAAGTAAATTACCCCCCCCCCCCCCCCCACCTGGAATTATTTCATCTAAGGTAGTGAGGGGAGGTGGGGAAATACTACAATTTTTTCTGATGGAAAGACTACTAAATCATCTTGTATTCTGATTATAATGATATTCTGCATAATAGCATATCAACAGGATGAACATTTTTATCAAAACTCTGTCATTCAAAATGAAAATTAAACAACAAACACTTGTTTATGAAGATAAGAGAAATTACCAACACAGAATTTAATATGCAGGCTTGACTGTGTATAAATCATGCTGTGGAAAATTGAATCAAATATTTAAATCAAGCTGGGTCCTTCAAGCATGACAAGTCATTCTTTTAATTATATTATTCATTATGATATTCTACAAGATTAGCAAAAAAAAATGTACAGGCATTTTGATGCAAGGCCAATTCATTAACATGGACTATCTATCTTACACAATTGTTTGGTTTGATAAAGAGGAATGGCCTCAGACATGATACAATCTTACACATTTAGCATTGTCAGAATTTGTCAAAAATTTTCAGATTAAGCAACTTCCAAGCTTTTCATAACAAAGTACACCGATTGGTTTATTAGAATTTAAAGTTTCTGCACAGTGACAATGTAAAGACTGTGTTCAGTTTTTTTTTTATTTGGTAATCTGATGATTTTTATGCATATACATGTATATAAAATTATCTTTATTTATAAGCAGTGCATTTCATTTAAATTCTTAAAAATTTTCCTATTTATTTCAGTAAAAAATACTTTTGAGTTAGAATTTTGTCCTTGATTTTCTACCACTTATGTTTTCTTTTCATATCCATTCATTTGATAAAGTGACCTGCAATCAATGAATACACATAACCATTGTTTCATCAACCAGATACAAGAAAACTAGGTCAAATAATAAATCTTTGAAACTGGGCTTTGACAACATTGTGGATAAGACAAAATATTAAACAATTAAATTTAATGAAAGGGACTGAAAGATAACATCATACAGTGTATTAGGCAAGATTTTGGAATACACATCATATGGATTAGACAAGTTTTACTGTATATGCAAACTACCATTTGTACATGTATAGGAGTCAGATTTTTGTGCGTTGAATTAAGTTAAAGTCTAGGTCCCAAAGTTCTAAAATTTCAGTATTTTTCTGGAAGTGGCATTTATTCTGTAACAACTTCAATAATAATCATTTATAAAGGTTGGAACTCAAGACAATCCAAAGCAGGAAACTCCAAAGGAACATCTCTGGTTACCATAGGCATAAAACTGAAATTCCTACAGCTTTTAATAATCTGGTCAAATTCTTAATCAAAGATCAAATATCAATCCATAACTCAAGACAAACTATGTAACACAGATAGGAAACTACAATGAAATATGTATTGCTCTAAAATTGGAAAAAAAAAGGGCAAATTCCTCAACAATTTTCTGAAAAAAAAACCTGACTTATAAGCAAACCAACTTAAACAAGAGATGTTTGTAAAACACTTATGCCCACCTCCTCCCAAATTTGAATTTTTGAAAGTCCAAAAGGGCATAACTCTGTCAAAAATGGCGTGATCATACCTAAAACAGAACTTGACCTAGATATTCATGTGATATATCTGTATACTAAATTTAAATCATTTAAATATGTGCAACCTCTGCGAAGAAAATGAACGAAAACTGCAAATAACTGGAATTTTTCTAAGTCCAAGGGGCATAACTCTGTCAAAAATGGTGCGATCGGACCCAAAACAAAACTTCACCTAGATATTCATCTGATATATCTGTATACTAAATTTCATTTCAGTACGTGCAACCTCCGCAAAGAAAATGAATGGAAACTGCAAATAATTAAGTCCAAGGGGCATAACTCTGTCAAAAATGGCGCGACTGTACCCAAAACAGAACTTGACCTAGATATTCATCTGATATATCTGTATACCAAATTTCATTTCAGTAGGTGCAACCTACGCGAAGAAAATGAATGGAAACTGCAAATAATTGGAATTTTTCTAAGTCCAAGGGGCATAACTCTGCCAAAACAGAACTTGACCTAGATATTGATCTGATATATCTGTATACCAAATTTCATTTCAGTAGGTGCAACGGTTGTGAAGAAAATGAACAGAAACTAAATGGACCGACCGACAGACAGCAGCAACGCAATATGCCCTCCCTTCTTTGTAGGAGGGCATACAAATGCAAGTATACAGTTATTTTTGTCCCGTGTTATTTACGCCCTTTAATTCACATTTGCAAACAATTTTGCCTGTTTTAAAACTTGCAAAGTCACATTTCTTTTTAAATTCACCTAACTGTGAGTAGAGCAAATGGGCCAAAAATAAATTGTGGGAAACATTTCTTTGTTATAAGTATTCATGTACAAATTAATTTCCTTGTACTTTAATAGGTGAGCTCCATAGGACATTGTGCTGCAAAAAATGAAGGTTCAATAACAAAAGTCTGAGATTACAAAGCAAGTAAGGATTATGTGACCCGAAGCCATACAGTGCTATATATCATAGTACTATCATGTAATATGGAGAGTATGCACATTGTTGGCGATTCTACAAGCTATAAAGCTGGTTATTCTGCATGCAGCTAGCGGCGTAGGTCAGTTAGTAGGGGTCACATAAGATGGTTACCTGCTGCATAGAGAGAACCAGGCCAGTGGTAACTTACACTAATATTGGTTCTCCCTTGATTAAACATTTGTCCTCGGAACTCTCCACCAGCGGAATCTTCTGGTCGTTCTTCTCCGACTCTGAAACAAAACTCTCCAGGCCGCAGGACTGGTACTTAAACAGCATCATAATCACAGAGCTCCACAACAGGGCCGATCCTGGCAAGGAGGAAGAAATAGGAATTGTACATCGATACATGGATAAAATGAGGATACTGACACTCATGGAAATTAGTTTTCATGACTGCTATTAGAACACTGGTACAAATGGTACCAGAAACAATGTCTGAGCTTTATGAAACAGAAGTCTTTCAAAGACAGCAAAATAGCAAATTTTTCAGTTCAAACCTGTCATCATAGGTACAACATTGACAACAAATTCAGTAGGGAAAATGAGAATTTAGGCCCCGTCTTAATTATCTCCGTACAACAAGTTAACTTCTCAAAAGTAAGACCTAAGCTTCTAATGTTCTAGTCTGCATAATAAATATCAATAATTTCCCAAATTTTTTATAGGGTTTCCCTTTGTGGCCCTTATTTTTTATACTGACCTGCTAGGTAGAAAGCATACTTGAATTCCGTCTCCTCTTGGATCAACAAACCTACAAGTACATTAAAATTAGGATTAACTGACTTTCTTTACAGTTAAACTTCAGTATCTCAAACACATATCTGGAATACAATGGATATGTTGAAGTAATTGGGTAGTCCTTAACTATTGTATTTCTTAAGTATTTTACACTAAATATCTTTAACTCTCAAATATCTCCTAAGTTTTGTCTCAGTTCCAATGAGTTCAAGATAATGAGGTTTTACTGTAATTGTCTTAAAGACCAGCCTTCTCAAACAAATAATTATTATATAATAATTCAATGTCATAATGATATTGGAAAATTCATTTGCAGAATGTTGATTCAGAATAAATGTCAGTAATAAAATTAGTTTATGTATCACTAGGGGGTGGCTGTCCGCATCAATCAATCAACTTTTAATATTTATACAATTGAAATACTGGATACACTGGTAGAACTGATTGAACTTTTGATCTCTAGTTATTTTTAATATCTGAAATAGATGATTGCTCTGGTGACTAACTATTTAACACCCATGAGTGATGACTTAAAACATCTATTAATTACCTTCTGTGCAGTATATCCATTAAATATACATGTATACCTATAACAGGTACACAATACAGAAGTCAGTGATTAACCATCTACTTATGTGTTTGCAATGTTTACTCTTTTAAAAAATAATAAAATACAGTGAGAATATTCTGTAAAAATTACAACTTTATATCAGTAGTTTAAATATTGTTCTATCCCCAATGCAAGACCTTGCATCCTTCATATCTATCCACACAGACAATCTCTATTTCTTTAGGTTTATTATGAAGCAACAAGGTCATTTCCGAATAAACATTCGGCACTTGTTAAGTTCCAGGAAAAGAACAATCCAAAATTCTTATGCAATAGTAATCTATTGTTTATTCAAATCTTTCAAGAATATTGCTGCTCATTAAAAATTTAGGAATAAGGTATTATTCTGCTCAGACACAAAAAACATTGTCAATAATTCATCCTGTCTGCACGGTGTAGAAGTATGGAGTGAGACAGAACCAAGGACCTTCACATGTGGGGGGCCTTGTAATGTCTCCACTAGGGTGCTTACACAAAGGGTGACAAAAAGTAGATTTCTACAAGGAGAGTTACCACTAACAGCTAGAGGACATTCATAGAAGATTTAATACCGAGCCCATATTAACAAGCTTTCACTATCCTCTCGAATTCCTTAGTAACTACACAGTGGGCAAAGTCCATGCAGTTTGAGGCTGATATTAAATTAGTACACTCTGACTACATAGGGTCATACAGTTCTGTAATGCACAAAGTGCCATGACTTTTAGGTCAGTGATTCATTATCATGCACCCCATGGTTTGTAAGGTCAGAAACATCTAATGTATATATATGTGCCTCTTTTGAAAACTAATAATTGACTCTATTGCCTTCCAAATCAACAGCAGACTCTTAGTTTAAAAAAATAGAAAACCTCAGATTCTAAAGCATACCACGTCTAATGCAGGAAGTAAATTGGGATGGGAATTTTAATACATTGTTTAAGTGAGATCAACCCCCCCCCCCCCCCTTCCATACTGACTACATTGAGTGGCCATCAGCCTAAACATGATAAACTCTCTTTCTTATCAACTAAAACATTTACAAACAACTTAATCAAAAATAAAATCTTGAAGCCTTTTCACTTTCCTTTTAGGAAAATCCTAGATTCTTTTTATATTTTTATCAATAATTTGAAGTGTCAAAAAGTTAATGGTATGATTCTACCATAAACATACAAAACTTGATAATATTTAGCACAATTTTTCTACAGCTGGAAATCTTGAAAACTGCTGACAATTGACAACCAAGATTTATGCAACTTAAAGCAAACAATACTATGCACACCAATGATGATATCCACCAAAGACAATGTCAGGTCACGTTCTGTCTATATTCAGGCTTCACGATTAAAATGTCAGTCTCCTAGTTCTTTTCTCCGTTTGGGAATATTACCAAATTACGCAGTCTTATGAATAATAAATATCCTGCAACATCAAATCATAATTGATTCGACTCATCAAAATAACCTTAGGGGAACCAAGAAATGTAAACATGCAGGCCCAAGGGCCACCTGGCTCACCTGAGTCACCAAACAGATCCAGATACATATTGGATATTTCCATCTATCAACACTATCTAAGTTTTTAGATCATATGAAGGAGTGTACTATTTTCAGGTTAAATTTTTGGACCAATGTAGATTTAGTGCTTAATTCTAATGCAATCCATGCATTTTTTTGGTTGTTTACGTCTTATTTGGATGAATTTTGTTACAAGAAAAACGTCACGGAGCATTGTGTTTTTGCGTCGCTCTATTATGACGTCACAATGAAAAAGCTTTCACGCTCGTTAATGCTCGTTTTACTGCTTCAAACATCAGTGCATTAGCCAATCAAAAAGTGTTTTACAAAATTATTGCATTAGAATATTTTATATTTAGTGTGTACAATAATTGGCGGAAATTGATTTTCGAACAAGTTAGCGTAGATTTGATTTAGTGAATTTCTAAATGTTCTTATCTATGTATACAGTATATGTGCAATACCTGAATGCCTAAAAGTGGATACACAGCTAAATGTAATACTTATTTTTTCAGAGAAAATAATGCAGTTTGCTTTAAAAAGATTTTTTTTTCATAATTTAGTCATTGTATAAATTTTCCCTTGCATCAATACCTGAATGCCTATGGATATGCCTTATTCTAAAAAAAAAATGCCTGTTATATTTAATTACCTACCCCTTCTTTTATCTATGAACATGCATCTACCCATGACTTAAATTAGGGAGAGCATAGATTAAAATCTACATGAACTCATTTTCTACTGATACCAATCTTTGTTTGTGGCCTGATCTTATTATGATAGTGAATTTAATCTGATTATAATCAACCCTCACATTAAAATTTAGGTGAGATAAAAGAAGGGAGTTCTCCACACTCTGATATTAATGATAAATCTCAAGTCAATAGCAAGGGTTATCTCTGAAGTGAGCCAGGCATGCAATGTACTTCAGGGTATTCCCAGATAAAATGAGACAGAAAATTTTAAAATATAACAAATTACAGAGAAATCCTGCAGTTTGTATTTTCAGCTTTCAAATTTTTAAACTTCTGAGTTTTTATATCAAACTCTAGTAATGAAGATAACAGACTCAACTTATATATAATTTAAACTTAGTGCATATTGTTCAATGTAAATTTTTTTGGCTTCCTCTCTTTTCCATCAATTTTCCACTTGAGGCTTATCGAAGCAAATAAGGACTTACATAAAAACAAAAAAAGTATGGAACAGACAAAATGTTCTTGAAGGATAATTCAGGCTACTTCTTAAGAAAGGTTTGCCAAGTTATAATTACACATCTCATGGATAATGCATTATAAAGTTTCCAGTATGTATTTATTTTACATTAATGACACTGAAACAATCAATGCAGTCAGTACAAATTATAGTTTTTACACATAAATCTATGATACTATTACCTGCAGTCAGTATAAATTATTCTGATTTCTTACACATGAATCCGTTAATACTAACCTGCTGCTGGTCCAGCCATGATAGATCCCAGAGCTATCATAAACGAGAGGTAACCATTTCCCTTGGCAATACATTCCGGGCCGAGTAACTCCCGCGAGGCCTGCGACAGAAACGTAGTCCAGTAACCACTGTAAAATCCAAACAGTAGCGAGTACCCGATCTGTCCCGCATAGTCATCAAACAGCATGGGACAAGTTCCCGTAATGACCACACCGAGTCCTATAGAGCACAAGATGGCCGTCATGTCATCTAACGTGCTGTTGTGTCCCATAAAAGAGAAGATAACCCTGGAGGTAAAACTAGCCATCCCCACACAGGACACCAAAAATACTGAGGTATCAAAAGTGGAGCCTTGGTCCATTGCGTACGATGGCAAATACATATATATCACAGTGGAGCCGAAACTCCAAAAGAGGTTAGCTATACACATTCCATGGAAAGTGATATTTCGGAGCGGTACACACGAGAGAAGGGGCATGAGGTGTACCTGTTTGCTACGACTGATGGGGGTCATCAGGGCCCCACACACACACAGATTGAGGGCTATTCCAGACAGGATCCAGAGCGTGCCCCTCCAGGCAAGGTGATCCAGCAGGGTCCGGATCAGGACAGGAAAGACGACAATCCCGGCCCCCACCCCGCTCAGTACTACACTCAGGGCCTGGAGCCTCTGCTTGTAGAAGTGTTGTTCCACTGCCATTATAGACGGGGTACAGGCCAAACCAAAGCCTATTCCTAAAAAATAAATGATCATGTGTATAAAGATAACACACAATAAGAAACAAAATTTCTTAAATTTTTTTTTTTTTGATCACATAATATATATAAAGAAAATTAAGTGTAACAAAAATTTGAAGACCTACAGTATTTAAATTAACCAGGGCTGAATTCTTACATCTCTGATCAAACTTGATAGCCCTAAAGATACCGTATATCCGTTTTAATTTTTTTTTTCTTTTCGCGTGTTGGAAATTTTGCGAAAAAGGGGTAGATTTGTCTAGTTTCTATTTTGCGTAAGTTATTTTTTACGACTGACTATTTTTTTAAAAAATTGTAATGTTTTTATACACATTATTGCTGAGAAATTTCTTCATGTTTTATATTTTGCAAATTAAAAATGATCGCACAAAAAGCGAAAAATCGATCATCGCAAAAAAAAAAAAGATATACAGTATATCTTACTTCTTTTCAACAGTTATACCTACATTTCATATGTATGTCATCATTGTTTATATGTATGTAACTTTAGTCCAAATCTGGTTTAAACACTAACAGACAGACAGATAAGTGGGATTCTTCATTTTGTTGGGTCACTGTGGAATAAAATTGCATCTCTGTAGCACTTCCTTATAAGACTTAGTGTGATTTACTGTATAAACTTACTGAACATGAACTTAATTTTGGACTAAGCCAGTGTTTTTATCACAGTGTCAACCAGGTTGCATTAAATCTAGGACAAATCACCATATTAATGTCCTATGTGATCAATTCAAGATCTAGGTTTATTGACAATGATGTAATAATTATATAGAATTTTCAATTACTGGCTATCATAATATGTCCTTATATCTATATGTATTACAATACCTCAGTAATATATTATTTATCTATTGCATCATTTTTAGGATGTGTTTTGATAATATCTGTATTATTTTGTAATTGTGTAGAAAAGTAATAAAATCTAACAAAAATAAAAATTTAGTATAATTTCTTGGCAATTTGTTGGATGCCAACTTCCCACTCCATGAAACAGGGCATTGAGAGATGTTCCAAAATGGTACTGATATGTTGTAAAGTAACAAATTAGTAAAATAACCTATTTTCAAATGTTTTTGAAAAATGGATTTTTTTTATCTTCATTGAAATTCAAATTAACGAGTTATGCATGAAGAAATTATACATCACCATGCATTTTAATTGATCTCAAAAATTTTTGTGTATCTTTTATACCAATGATGGAATGCTATCATAAATGTTCAGGCATTAATATTACTTCCAACATACATTAAGCTTTGCCTCTATTGCAAGGAGACATCATAAGGAAAATTATGCTTTACTTGTTGAACAATCATGAAATTGATATAATGTTTATAGAAAAACTGGCAACATTTAGTTTTAGTAAATGCAGTAATTACTGAGTTTAATTAATGCATACGAGCATGAGTTTAGTTTTGAAATGGCCAAGTTTATGAAATTCTACTGTACCTGTGAGTACCCCGAATGAGAGATAGACCTGGTAGATCTCCGTGACCACCATTCCCATGGAGAGTCCTAGAGCAGAGATCAGACCCCCCAGCATTACGCTCCACCGACAGCCAAACCGCGCCATGAAGCACCGCATCACCACACCTAAAGAGGAAAGAAAACATTACATAACATAGGGAGCCTAGTCTGTTTATGTCTTAACTAAAACATTTGTCTATCACTCAAATATGTAATTTACAAAGCATATACAAATGTGGAAGAGTATAAAAAGACTATAACCAGAAGTCTTAGAAGAGACTGGCTGTAATGGTGGCATTTGGGCTTCAATAATGTTTCATCTTTATATCTTTTTCAAAAGACATTCTCATGTGGATTTACTTCGCCTTATTCGATCTTCACATACAGAAAGGAAAAAATTGTTAACAAAACAACCCTTATCATCAGATCATGTAAAATAAAGTTTCATAAAGGACTTTAAACTTTTTTCTTCAAGAGTTATCCTTTGTGTTTGGTTTTATTTTAATGAGACAAAAAATGAAACATTCTGAAGTAGTTTTCATATTCTATTTTTCATAAAACTGCTAAAACCATTCATTAAAATTCAACAGTGGCGCATATATGATGCCTCTTAGTGTGGTCTATACATTCCACTCAGGACTTACACCAGTCAAGTGGAAACTAAAGCTAGGGAGAACCCTCAGTAAACACAGTAATGCTGTTCATAAAACTTACATACTCAACCACTGAATTATGTACCATCTAAATTGATGTTTTAAAATTCAACAATTTGTTTCCTCAAATTAGTCAAAAGCTATTGGAATAGAGACATTTTACAGATTGTTCTATATTTGTAACCATTGTGGCAACCAAATATTGAAATTTAAATTCATCAACAAAATGTGGTGTCTTGATTTATATACATTTAGTGTATAGGCATATCATACTGCTTATTAATGAATCGGTTTCACACTGTAGAAAGAACAGCATTTTGATAGATCTTAGTCAATGCATTTCTGTGATTATGATTAAAATAGCCTTGTGACCTATGTAAACGACTTTGGTACAAAATCATAAAATTTCCCCTGGTCACAAACAACCTACGTGTACATGTATCATGTTTTTTTCTTTTTTTACAAAATCCATTTGCTGTTCCTTAACTTCAAAGCTTTGGCTTAAGTGGACATAAAGATTGTTCAAAAGACCTTAGATCAGGTTAATGACCATACAATGGACAAGCCACTTTTGTGCTATGTATGAGCCTTTTATGTCCCCCATTTCAAATTCAATGCAAAACAAATACAATTTAAACAAACAAACCAACCAACAAAAACTTTGTACTTCTTAACTCTACGTGTCATTAACCTTATCCACACATCCTTGGCTGAGTCGTGACAAGTACTCCTGTACTAAGCATTTTTTTCCCCTTTTTTCAGAATTATGCCCCCTCTTTTACATCATGCAAATCTTTGTTTACATGTACATGTACAAATTAAAAAAATAATTTTCAAAAGGAAAAAAGAATGTGCATTACAGTATTTAATACAATAACTTACTTGTTAAAGCAGTTGTGTACAGTAAGATTGAACCAACCCATGATGAGTTGAAATGATCCTCGTTGAATATCTTACTGAACACAATGTGAAACACCCCAATACTGTACGTTATTCCACAGATAATGAACTGGGTGAAGAAGGCTGCGATGGCGACGACCCACCGATACCCTCCCCCGTCCCCCTGAATCATACCGTCAGGCACACTGATCGCAATCATCTAGCAACTGGAAAAAAAAATCATTAATGTCAATATCTACTAAAAACTTTAAAAACGTAAAACAAGGAATAATCAATAAGTTTCTTGAATTACAAATATTACTTTGCCATAAAAAACAATAGGTTCTTGAGTTTCCATTTTGATTAATCCTTTGGATATCAATATAATACCACCATCAACTGATTTTAACACAGACATACTTTGTCACATGTTTTTTTTTTTTTCATTTTGAAAATTTCAACATACTTATTTTTTTTTTAAAGCATAAACCATTTCCTGGAATAGTTAAAGCTGTAAAATACTTTTTAATCATAAATCTAGAACAAGTGTTGTTAATTAAGTTAACAAATATACCAAATAATCTGTAAAGGGGACCTTTGTTAATTATGCAAAGGAATATATTGAATTACTTCTAAATCTGCTATTTTGCAATTGCACTTTGAAGTTTGCTGTTTTGCAATCAAATACTGGTGAATGCCAGACACATTTACAAGCTTGCAGGGTGACATAATATTTGTGCTATACACACTTTATTCTACACTTGTCATAGTTTTGTTATGGCTGTTGAAAAACTTGATTTATATCAGGAAAAGACTCATCAAACTAAACACAAGGGACTCCAGACAATTAAATGTATGTGTGTGATGCATTCATAAAATCTCTTTGTGGCAAAGCACTTGTAACAGAGAGAGGCAATATACTATAATGACAGAGGACTAAAATTTAAACTAAAAGAGATAAATTCTCTTACACATCAATAAAATCAGCACAATGAAGTCAAAGGGGTCTTTAATTCAACTAACCATTGGAGTAATATGGTCTTAATGGTGCATACTGTGACAAACCCCTATAGTAATCAAGCCCTGCATCAGTTGAAAACTAACTTCACAAGTTAATTACTACAGTAAAACACGGTTAAAGTGAACACGCTTATAATGAATGTTACCTACAGTGAAGTGATTTTCATTCCCATTGACTTTATTACATATTGTAAAATTGAAGGGATACAAAGAATTATGATTATATCGAAACAAAATCGTCCATTCCTGGCACTTTGTTATAAGCATGTTAAAAACTGTTTTATTCAAGAAATGCAAAACAAACTTGAAGGGGTTAAAGAAAAAAAAGTTTGTTTGACGCGGAGAAAGCCATGGAATGATCATTACAACTTCTCTGAATTTGAAAATAGTTACCAATATTTGGCAAACTTATTAAAACCTTCTCAATACACAGCTCATTAACCTAATGAGCATTTCAGACTGTGTAATACACACACCCTTATGACCATGCAAGAAATCTTCTTAAGGTCCGGATAATGTATAGGTAGTCTTAACCTGTTCTTGGCTGCAGGTAGTGAACCATGCACAAAACTATTCCAGCATTTTAGTATGTAATATGATTCATGGTTGAGATACTTAATTTAATCTGATTATATCTTAACTTTAAAGGGGGGTATATCTAAAATTTCATATCTAATTATTCAGTTTGGAAAAAAATAATTAAAAAATAATTGAATATATTTCTATCCTTTGCAGTGACAATACATGTAAGAACATGTATGTATACAAATCATTCTTGGTATCAAAATGAGAAGCATACCAGTACATAAACATTGCTGGGTATTGATTTAATTTATAGTACATGTTTATAGAACTTTTAAATATCTATTTATTTCTGGGAAAAGTAGATGCTATTATACTTTATACTGGGTATTTGTAAATGCATAATAACCACGCATTTTAATTTATACCATGCAGCTCTGTGACTTTTCTTATAATTTGTAGTTTCCATTCACTGATGTTACAAAATCTAGATGTGTGGATATAGAGCTTTTTTGTGATTGTACTAAGTAATCTAAAAGCACATCATTCTAGCCTTTAAATTGTGCTGTTTGACCATGAGGTTCTGTTCACGGTATAAACCATCTAGGTCAAATACCTATAATAAAACCTGTAACTTCTTTGTTCAGCACTTGCTTTTAAACATATAGTTTTTTGTACATACTTTAAATTGGACATTTGCCTGCAGGTTTATAGATTTGAATTATTTATGTGACGTAAATAATAAAACTTGAATGCAAATGAGTATGCATTTTAATTTTATGTACTTTATTTTTCAAAAACAACAACTTTGCTACTTTATATAGCTATTGCTAATAATCAGTGTATAAATCTAGATCTTATTTACAATTGATCCTTTCAAAATCTGGCACCAAATAACAAAGAGATTTAATAAGTCGTTTAAATCACTTTAATTAGTGAATTAATTTTACTATGTCAATATTTAGGCTCTAACATTGATTTACCAGCACTTTATCAGAAAGGTCGATATTAAGGTTATGTTTAAATTATTAAGAATGGAACTGGTCAAAGTGCAGGTGTTCAAATGACTTAAAAGAGCTCTTCAAAAGTACATGAAGATAATCAAAATGTGACACACTGGTCAGTTCAATGAAAAATAAAAAAGAAAAGGGAAAAAAGTTTACTCTACAACCACAATAAAAAAATTTAAATGTAACAGGTGGGGGAAAAAACAGAATTTTCAGTTGACCCCCCCCCCCCCACACACACATACTTTCTTCCCCACCCCCGGATTTAGACTTACAAAATTATCAGTCAGTCGTCAGATAAAACCATATATCATTCTATACTTACCTGAAATGGCATACCTTTCATTGTTCACAACGTATTTGTTTTTCTTTTAAAATGTTATCCAAACACAATCAATGTTAATTGTAGATAGAAATGTGACAAACAGCAATTTTTCTTTGTGTCTCGCGAGCACTGACGAAAAACAGCTGACGATACGAACGTAAGAGGGCAAAGGTCATTCTGACATCCACGTGATCTATTTGTTTACAACTGTCAATCAATTCACCTTTTCTGTGGCCATGTAATTACCTAGTCCGTTGTTTTACCTATTTATTTTCCAAACAAAGAAATTATCGTCCATCAATTAATAGAAAACATTTAATTAATACTGTCAAGATGGAAAAAGAAAATAAACCCATCATACCACGTTCAATGTAAGTGTCCCGAATTTACAGTGAATATATGCATCACACGATATACAAACATATTATTTAGATTTAACACCTGTTAAAGGAACGTGAAATTCAAAGAAATTAGACAAAGCTGGCGAAAAGCGCCAATACACATGGCGCATGGAAATATAAACAATATACTTGGCGGAAATTAACACAATAGGGCTCTACGTGGTAAAAAATGTAAAAATTATTTAATAAAACTTCGCTGATATCAATTAATTATCTTAAAACATTCTTTGCACTCCTTTAGTCCCCACAAGGAATAAACATACAACGTCATAAAAAATGGACACTGGTCAAAATTAATATGAATATGCTCATTAATCTTCAACCACGTGTAAAAATCCCGCGTTAACACAACACAAAATATAAAGACTAGACTACTTCCATATCCACAAAAGAAATAACATAAATATGATTTCAGGTCTTTACCAATCTGCCAATACACATTCGGCTTTGTGTATTACCTTACAGAAATTCTATATCTCCTGGCCGTGGTCTTCCATGTTTTTTCAATGAATTGCTACACTTCCGTTCTCTCTGCTGACGTTACATGTTGACAATCTCTGGAGTAAGCGTGTTTCGTTTTTACAGAGTTTTGTTATACTCTCCACGGTCATTTCACGTAACCTTTAGTATGTTTACTGCCATGTTGGAGTTTTATAACACGGCATGTAGATATTTTTCTTCTCTGTTATGATCACGTGGTAATTGACGTGGAACACGGAATCGATTTCTTGGCTTTAGGAAATAATGTATTTTTTTTCACAAAAAGGGAAAATAAATTTGATATTGAATTTCAAACAGATAGATTTAATTATAATTCCTTAACAAAGCAATATAAACACAATGTAAAATCTGTTCATAATCAATTAAAAATATACTGTTGTTTTTTTTTTCTTTTTACTGTATATATATATATAATTATATTTTTTTTCTTTTCAAACCATTTTATTAATGAGTTTTGTAGAATGATTCCTGTTTTTTTGCCTTTCACAATATAAGGATGCTCCTTATTACAATACTACAATACTATTATATTTAAACATCAGTCCAAACTGTTTAACTTTCACTAGAGTTGTTCCCCTTTACGCAGTGCATAGCGATGTTCATAAAATGACTCTAGGGATCCCCCCTGATGGACTGGGTACCTCCCCTTTCTTTGACTGCGTCCTCTAGGGGGCCGTGGCATTCTGGATCTGTCCATGTACTCTTTCTTCTCCTAAACAGTACAGATATATACATCTTTTGCTGTAAAACTATTGATTCACAAGTAAAAAAACTGTGAGAAAAATTTTATCAATATTAATCGATACAGGAAAAAAGAAAAAAAAAAAATGTTGGACTGGGGATTGAACCCAGGCCCTGGGGCCATAAAACTTAGATGAACCCATCTTTGATCTCAGTCCCACTTTTACAAAAGGATCACATACATGTAGTGGGAAAACTGAGACTGAGATCAAAAGTGCAGAGATTGAATAAGCGTTATGGCCCTCTGGGACCCATTTTAACAAAAGAACTTACAACTAAAACCAAAAACTCTAGCTGACTGTAAAATTTTACAGAATTAATGATGAGTTTAAAATTGCTATCATGAAAATATCTTTCTACATTCCTTTTAAAAAGTTTCAAACCATTTTCAATTTCATTCAAATAAGAGAGTTATAAGCAGAAAAAAATATTGGTCTTAGTTGTAAGTTCTTTTGTAAAACAGGCCCCTGGCCTGAACCCTGCATTACAAGTGGGTGCTCTAACCACTGAGCTACCTAGGCAGATGTTCCTGGTCCATATAGCTCAAACCACTACAACCATTCCTCTCTTCTAAGATAGTATATGACCTTGCAGACAAACTAAGATCTTTTAACATACTTATGTATAATGGTAGTCCAGGGGTGATCAATGGCACCAAATGTAATACAATTAGAATAGGCTACAATTTTCCGGGGATTGTATCTAGGACCCATGAATTAGTGGTTAGGAACTCATACTACTTAGCTAATCAAACAAATAGTCACAGTCTCTAAAGCATTCTTCCCCCTTAAAATCTCTCTCTTTAGGACAAGCCAGATTCCCTTGCCCCTGACAGTACTTTCATCTGCAAGTCAAGGCCAATTTTCAAGCTCCATATAGCCCACACAAATACAAAAACTATTGAATACTTATGGACATTATTTCTGCAAAAAGTTCATTTGGAATATAAATGGGTTATCTTCTCTTTAATGGGTACCTCAGTTTAATGACTGTCAAACAAATAGTTCTCAAGACTAACATGAGATTTAGGAATTGGATAAGACTGCCAGGGATTTAGGAATTAGATATAACTACCAGACATATAGTAATTGGATACAACTTCAAGAAATTTAGAAATTGGATAAGACTTCCAAAGATTTAGGGATTGGATAAGACTAACAGAGAACTAGGGATGGGATATAACTACTGATATTTAGTACTTTGATACGTTGACAAAAAATAACTGGAGTCTTCCTCACCTGATACAGCTTGTCTTTTTCCTTCATTTTCCATCGTCTTCTGGTCGCCTGAAAGATCAACACAGCAACATACTATTACTAGATTATATGAAGCCTTTTTACTCTCAGTTGATTTTTGCCATATTCTTCATCACCAATCAAATAGAAAAAAAACTTTTAGTAAATACAACATCATCTATATTTGTTTCAATCAATAAAACAGATTCAAATTAAATATACGATGTAACAAAACTTATAGACCTTCTAATACTAGTACTATATACATGTACTTGAGTTGCATAAGGAATATAACTAGTACATTCTCTACCAATATATTATTTTAATTCTCTTGAACCAATAAAGCTTGACTATTATAGTTTGAGTCTTTCTCCCATATTTTTGTTATTCTGTCACAGTTTCAACTTACAGTGAAGGTGATGTAAATACCGAAGATGACATGGAAAAACAGAAATATGACCATCAAGCACACAATGGTATTGCGATCATAGACCTTCACTTCTTTTGCATGATAAATGGCAGCCAAGGATTTCATTGTCGCATTCTGAGTAGCATTCAAGGCAAGAAATATCAGTGCAGCCAAGACATACAGATCCTAAAAAAAAATTGTGATTTAACTGAGAACTTTTCTCTGTATTTTTGGAGAGGGTGGATAGAACAATACGAAAGACTGTCCAATACATATATTTTTTTAGGTATTCATCAAAATATATTTTTTTTTTAAAATATCACATCGTCAAAAAGTGGTAAAATTATGGATCCTAGCTAGCAATTTATACCCTTTTCACCACATTGCATTATTAGATGAAAAGGATTTAAATTTGAGAACCATGTCAAGGGGAGATAATCAAGAAAAAGTAAAAATAGGGTAGGTCACATGAACCACTGGACATGAAAAAAAATTAAGCAAAACCTTTTTTTTTCTATCAGTTTTAAAAGTTTGAAAAAATTAAAATTCCTCTCAACTTCCAGAAAGGCTAAAATTACTCATTTTTTAAATATGCATGCCTTTTCATTTGGCACAAGTTTTTTTTTTTTCATATCACGGTCCCCAGGGCTAGATCATGATCAAAGTATTGCATGCATGGGAATTCAAAAGAAAATCTCTTTAAAATAATCTTCTTAACAAGTCCAAGGTCTTGGTTGTATTGATTCATTGTATGAAAGTGCACCTCCATTTTAAAGTTTGTTCACATCAAGATCTCTACAATTAGGATGAGACCACAAAAAGGGATCTGAGTTTATCTAAAAAAAAAATTGAGGAAATAAGCTTTTAAAATCTCTCTTCTTAAGAAAGAGCAAAACCAAAAACTCTATGATAGCATTCCTATGCAGTATAAATTCAATTTTGTTCCAATTTTTTGAAGATTTATATTTTTTGGTTAGAAAGTTTTATCAAGTGGTTGAACATGTACTTATATATACTTTTGCAAATAAACCATTGTCACCAAAAAGTTTACAGATCTAAAAAATATTGGCCAAAAGCTAAAAAGACAAATTTGCCTTTTTATCTTGTCTCTTAATCTGCATTTTTTAATGCAGGATTTAGAATGTGCTTGCTTCAATGTGCTGCAAAAACATGAAAGACTGTTAGGGCTATAGTTGTATGCTAAATTTTATACCGTATATTTTTGTTTACAAATTAGACAAACAGTAATTCAAATCAATGAGTCTTTTTAAAGTTAAAGAAATTCATGTCCTTGATTTCAATGCAAAATTTTTCAAATAATTAAATTAAAAACTATAAATGTACA